AGCTAAAACAGCAGAAGGACGAATGGACAGGAAGAGCACATTGATGGCTGACGACTCACTTTGTGGTGTAGAAATGTCGGACGAGGTGTGGGAGAACAACAGCTTGGCTAGTCCATCACCTCAACTCCCACTGCTCCTCCTCCTGCTCAATGACAGTGATTTGAATGAACCCCTGTTGAACTACACCAACTCCACTGTCCTGGATGTTTCCTCAGGTCCCAGCATGGCTGGAGTCCTCATCCCGCTCATTTACATCATCGTCTGCATCATCGGCCTCGGTGGGAACACACTGGTCATTCACATCGTGCTGCATTATTCAAAAATTGAGTCAGTGACCAACATCTACATCCTGAACTTGGCAATTGCTGATGAACTCTTCATGTTCGGCCTGCCCTTCCTGGCTGTCCAGAACACCTTACACTCATGGCCGTTTGGCTCCTTTATGTGCCGACTCGTCATGACCGTTGACTCCATTAACCAGTTCACCAGTATCTTCTGCCTGACTGTGATGAGCATCGACCGCTACCTGGCTGTGGTCCACCCCATCCGCTCCTCAAAGTGGAGGCGCCCTCAGGTGGCCAAAGTGGTGAATGGCACAGTGTGGGTGCTTTCCTTTCTGGTTGTTCTACCAGTGGTGGTCTTTGCCAACATTCAGAAGACAGGAGGAACCTGTAACATCACCTGGCCTCAGCCTGCTGAGATCTGGAGTGCTGCTTTCATCATTTACACTTCCACTGTTGGATTCTTCTGCCCTCTGCTCATCATCTGCCTCTGCTACCTACTCATCGTCTTCAAAATCCGCAGCTCAGGTAAAAAAGTCCATGCCACCTCCACTAAGAGGAGGAAGTCTGAACGAAAGGTGACTTGGATGGTTGTGATTGTTGTGGCGGTCTTCGTTTTCTGTTGGTTGCCCTTTTACGCCCTGAACATCATCAACTTGCTGGTTTCCCTCCCCTCAGAGCATCAGGGACTTTACTACTTTGTGGTGGTTCTTGGGTACGCCAACAGCTGTGCCAATCCCATCGTCTACGGTTTCCTGTCTGACAACTTTAAGAGGGGTTTCCGTAAAGTGCTATGCCGCTCCACGAGACGGGTGGAGAACCATGAGCCTGTGGAGCACAACCTGCAGCAGGAGGAGGGCCGGAGGGCACTGATGCCCAGGGAAAGCCTGAGGAGAGCCATCCGAGATGAGGATGATGATGATGAGGAAGATGTGTCAGAAATGACTGAGATCTACAGGATCACAGAGAATGGAAATGCAAGTTCCCAGCTGCCGTTCACAGATAAGGCACCACCAGCTGGAGCAACAGAGGTGTCATCACCAGACAGGAATGGTAGCGACTCCAGAGGGAAGGATCCCATCAATGGGTCCACACTAATGGTCCCCCTACTGCTCAACGGAGCCAAGAATGGGAGCATTAAAACTCTCCCAGAGGAAACTGCAGAACAGAGTACCTCACTGGAAATAAGTTACTTATAGTGAAAAATACTGAGGTGCAACTACTCCTCTGACATCCAGAGCCTCCTACTGAACTACTGCAACCACTACACTGGTTTCAGTCTGGACCACCAATGGGTTTCGGCCCAATAGTATATCAATGATCCAGTCACATTTTGGTGATTTCATAGACTTTCCTGTATTTGACTAGATTTGCAGGGATATGACATCAGCGAGTCTACTGCTGTCAGTTTTGTCCTGAGCTAAGCTAATATTTAAGTTTTAGAAGTGAAACTGATGTTCTGGTTACAGGTGGAGCCCGCACTAGTGTCTACAAACTAAACACCAGCAGGCCCTTTAGAAAACTGGTGTCGGTTTCATGTATCAGTTTCCTAGAATGTGTGATTATTTATAATCTATATATACTGGATGTGATAATGTGAAGCTGGTTGTTGCCTTGTTTTAGGTTGGTCACATGTTGGTGTTTCTTTATATCCCATAATAGTCTCCCAGTGAGCAATAGCTGTGATTTTAAGTGTTTAAATACAGAGAGCTCAAGTGTGGTTCCTGCAGTGGTTTATGATAAATGACCCGCACTTGTGTAGCGCCTCTCAGAGTAAGGACTCCAAAGCGCTTTACACTACAGTGCATCATTCATCCATTCACACACACATTCACACACTGGTGGTGATGAGCTACAATGTAGCCACAGCTGCCCTGGGGCGCACTGACGGAGACGAGGCTGCCGAGCACAGGTGCCACCGGTGACTCCGACCACCACCAGCAGGCAGGGTGGGTTAAGTGTCTTGCCCAAGGACACAACAGCAGAATTCTCTGTCCGGAGCCGGGATCGAACCTGCAACCTTCCGATTACTGGACAACCCGCTCAACCTGTTGAGCTACTGCTGCCTGTCATAAATGATGCTTACTTGTTGTTTTTGTTTTTTTTTTTACTGAAAAACAGATCACCTTCGATTTTGTGGTTTAAGGTACAACTCCCCATTCGATTTTTAGGTCCAGTTCACACGGCAAGATATTTTGTCGATTTTTGATTAAAGTCTCCACAGCTGACTGCCTTAAGGACACGCCAAACTATCGTAACAATAGAGAGCTGCACGCTCCTCATCCGCCATGTTTGCTTTCAAGTCAAGTTTATTCTTGACACGTGTTGCTATACTTTCCGTCTGAGAGTAGCCTGGCCTGCCAGACTCCAGATCTCTCACAAACCACTGGTCATGCAGCTACGAACCACAACGTCAGCTCTAAATCATCAAGGCAGCATCTCCAAGCCACCAACCCGCCTCAGAGCCCAGAACACAACCTGCTTCAGCTCGCAGAACCATCACTTTAGCTACTGAAAATTATTTTCTGGCCATGTTGTTTATTAGTGAGCAGCTGAGTTTTAGTCAGTTTGAGTAGAAATGTATGGATGCATGGTAGCACTGTTGCCTAGCAGCAAGGTTGCAGGTTAGATTCCCTGCAGTGGCCTTTCCGTTTGGACTTAGGTTGTTTTCCACAAACATGTGTGGGTTTCATGTTACCTTGACCCTGGTGAAGAATAAATGGTTTAGAAGATGAATGGGTGAGTAGAAGTGGACTCAGAGGACTCCTTTAAAAAGCAGCTGAAAACTAGTTCAGGCTGGCTTTTGCATGACCTTCATCTACCAATTCCACCTTTCCATTATTTACCTCTTTCTTATTCTTTTTCCCTTTCTTTACATTTTTAATCACAATTTTTTTGTTTCTCTCATTTTTATATTTTTGATCATTTTTTCAAATCCTTTTTTATTTTTTTTTTATTTTGTTCTTGTGAAGCGCCTTGTGATTTTAACCTTGAGAGGCGCCATATAAAAGAATGTATTTTTCCTTTTAGAACTGTGCGTGAGCATAAACACACACACACACACACACAAACTCTGACTGGTGCTTAGGAGAACTCAGCTTGAAGATCAGCTGGTGTCATTTAACTTTCACCCACCAGCAACAACTTAAGTCCCATTAATGTTTAATGGGAAACTTTTGCTCATTTACTCTGATGGTCTTTTTATTTATCATTCAGGTTTTTTGGGTTAGGGTTAGGTAATCTTTGAGCAAGCTACTGTCAGCTCCGAGCCTAACCAGGTGGTGTTCTGTAGGTTTTAATAGCTCTACAGTAATTTCTATCAGTGTGTTCTGAACACAACGAGGCTTTAAACTCATCGTAGCACTAATACAAATTGAGTGGGAGTCATTACTGCTCTGGGTTGTCAGAAATAAACCTCCGCTGTAGCTGAAGTGTTGATTTGAGAGGAGAAATCCATTCCCAGTGGAATCCATTTTTGTCCAAGCGGAGCTGCAGTAAAGTCACATTTCCCTGGCAGACTGTCGGGAATCATTCAAACCATCAGGGAAAATGTAGATGCTGTAATCTAGGAAGTCAGTTCTGTTTCTTTCAACAGGTTCGGTGGTCATGCCCTAAACTGTCACGTTGAGAGGATGGTTTGGACCCAAAATGCAGTAACCCAGGATGACACAAGGCAGAAGTGGATATGAAGTAAAAATCCTTTTATTTTAGGAGGCTGGGCATAAATCCAAAGGCAAACGCTGGCAAAAAAAAAAAGGCAAAACAGAAGCTCTTTCATGAGCAAGATCAGGAGAACACACGAGACAGACAACACAACACTGACAACGACCATGGACCGACAAGACACAGAGACAAGACAGGGCTTAAATACACTGGGGCATAATGGGAGGCAGATGAGCTGCAGGTGTGTGGAGTGTGGGGGGAGGACCAGGTGAAAGCAATGACTAATCAGGGAAGAAACTAACATGACCTAAGAGTGAACCTAAAAACAGAAAAGCAACCATATAACTAAAATTCTAAAGGGAAGGAGAAATACAAAAACCGGTGGGACAAAACATATTAAAGAGACTAATAAAAATGAAAAGCTGAAACTATAAACACTGCAGAGGGATGACTGGCTGCAGAGGGGTGACTGGAGAAGACTAAAGGAACACAGGAGACACATAAATGAGATGCAGACAAAGGACACATGAGGGCGATATGAAACTCAAAAGGAGAACCTGGAGTGGGAACTGGAGGGGCTGGGGAACAAAGGGACACAGAACATGACATAAACTTTCACTGTTTCTTGTTAAGCTCTCTGTGGAATAAAGAAGTTTTTGTGAATTAGGTGATGTTTTGTTATTTTCAGCCCAAACTAGAATTACTGAACCAACTTTTATGTTTATGTCCAACCAGCTAACATGTCACATAACGAGTTATAATACGATTTAATTGTGTCAGAGATTTGTGAAAAAATGAAATCTCTGATAAACTAGTCAGTAGCATTAACCTGCCGCCTCATCCAGGCTCTTTTTTTTTAACATCTCTACAAAACTACGAGCACGTCAGTCTGATCGACTCTAGACTGGCGGCTGAATCAATATCTGCTTCAAACTTCGGAAACGTTTACTTTTTCTATCCATTCTCTATTTAAATGAAACAATTCACCTACAGAAACATTCGATCGGTCACGGCCATTTTCAGACATACAATAAAAACAAGCCATCCCAGATCGGAGAGACGCTCTGCTGTCAGCAAGAACCCCTGAAACACGATGGAGGACATGTTTGTTCTGACTCAGCCCAGATGATGATGCAACATGAAGCAGGAAGAATGTCAGGTTTCAAATTCAAATTTTATTTGTCACATACACAGTCATACACAGTACGAAATGCAGTGAAATGCCTTACACAACTGCTCGTGGCCTAAGAGTTGAAAATGAAAAAACTGTACACCACAAATTAAAATGAAGGGTAAATTTAACTGGGAAAGAGTAAGGTAAAATATATCTGAATTAAAGTTGAATAATAGAATAGCTTTACAACAAAATACACAAAACAATACAAATTAGAATAAAGGGTAAATTTAGCTGGGAAGGAATAAGATAAAATATATATAAGTTGAAGTTGAGAATAAAGTAACTGTACAACAAAATACACAGTATGTACATGTATAAGAATGTATGAAGAAATAAAAATATCTGTACAAAACAGCGGCTGAACAAGTATTAAATGGAAATGAAAAAAAAAATATATATATATATATATATATATATATATATATATAATGTCCAGAGTTGTGCAAACCACATTTTAGTGACTTTGTAGTACAACTGTGCTTAAGCAAAGTCCAGACTGTTCGGTATGTGTGAGAACCATATGTGTGTGCACTTACTATGTGGTGGTGTGATTTAAAGATCGTATCGCCTGCGGGAAGAAACTCCTCCTCAGCCTCTCTGTGTTGGTCTTCAGGGAGTGGAATCGCTTTCCTGACCTCAACAGAGAGAACAGTCTGTTATTTGGATGGCTGAGGTCCTTCACGATCTTCCTGGCCTTGGTCCAGCACCGCCTGCTGTAGATCGAGTGCAGGTCAGGGAGCTCGGAGCGGATGGTGCGCTCAGCTGATCGTACAACCCTCTGTAGAGCTCGTCTGTCCTGCATGGTGCTGTTCCCGAACCAGGTTTGATGTTCCCCGTCAGGATGCTCTCTATGGTGCACGAGTAAAAGTTCCTGAGCACCCTGGGGGGCAGTCGGAAGTCTCTCAGGCGTCTGAGGTAGTAGAGATGCTGCCGGGCCTTTTTCACCACGGTGTTGATGTGACAGGACCATGACAGGTCCTGCCTGATGTGAACACCGGGTATTTGAAGCTGCTCACTCTCTCCACTGGGCACTCGTTGATGACGGGGATCTGGTAGTTCCTCTCCTGCTTTGTACTGAAGTCCACTATCAACTCCTTCGTTTTGCTGACGTTTAGAAGGAGGTTGTTCCTCTTGCACCAGGTCTCCAGATTCCTGACCTCCTTTAAGTAGGCCACCTCGTTGTTGTCAGAGATCAGGACCACCACGACGGTATCGCCAGCAAACTTAATGATGGTGGTGGAGCTGGTACTGGCCACACAGTCGTGTGTGTACAAAGAGTACAGCAGGGGGCATAGAACACACCCCTGGGGGGCTCCAGTGCTGAGAGTGGTGGGGGCTGAGACATGTCCGCCCATCCTTACTGCCTGTGGTCTGCCAGTTAAGAAGTTGGAGATCCACTGGCACATAGATGAGCTCAGTCCCAGGTGCTCCAGTTTGGTGGTGAGTGTGGAGGGAATTATGGTTTTAAATGCAGAGCTGTAGTCGATGAAGAGCATTTTAACATAATTCCCCCTTCTAGTGTCCAAGTGAGTGAGTGATGTGTGGAGGAGATGACAGATGGCATCGTCTGTAGAACGATTTGGACGGTAAGCGAACTGTAGTGGGTCCAGTGTGTCTGGTGGTGAAGAAATGATGAAGTCTCTGACCAGGCGTTCGAAGCACTTCATCACTACTGAGGTGAGGGCTACGGGGCGATAGCATCGTTGGAGTCCTTAGCTGCAGCCTCAAAGCGAGCATAGAAAGTGTTCAGCTCGTCTGCCAGAGTCGCGTCCGCATTCGTCATACCGGTTGTTGGTGCTTTATAATCCGTTATTGTCCTCAGTCCCCGCCACAGGCTCCTAGAGTCACTCTGTTGGAGTTGTGACTCTAGTTTCCTCCTGTAGCGCTGCTTCGCCTCTTTTACCACCTTCTGCACGTCATATGACGCGGCTTTGTACGGGTTCATGTCCCCCGTCGCGAGTCCCGTGTTATAGGCAGCGGTGCGGGATCTCAGAGCTTCGCGAATGGTTTTATCCACCCACGGCTTCTGGTTGGGAAACGTAGTGATAGTCCTTGTCTCCACGGTATCATCCGCTAGTTTCCCGATGAATCCCACAACCGCTTCCGTAAACACGTTGACGTCATCGGAGCTGTTTCTGAACATGTCCCAGTCTGCGTCGTTGAGTGCGTCCTGTAATGCAGCCACCGATTGGTCCGTCCAGCGCGCGACCTTCCTCTGAACCGGAACTTCCTGTTTCAGCCTTTGTTTGTATTTTGGCATGAGGAAGATGGCGGCATGATCGGATTTGCCAAACGGAGGGCGAGATTGTGCCTTGTAGCCATTGTTGACCGTAGTGTAGCAGTGGTCCAGTGTCCTTTCACCTCTGGTGGGGCAGGTGATAGGTTGATGAAAGTTTGGCGCTGCGCGTTTGAGGTTGGCACCATTGAAGTCCCCCGTCACAATAAGCACGGCATCCCGGTGTTGTATCTGGTGCTGGGTGAGAGCCTCATGCAGCTCGCATAAGGCAGAGTCTGTGTCCGCTTGTGGTGGTATATAAACGGCACTTATAATGACCGATGTAAACTCTCGAGGTAGATAAAAAGGACGACACATGATGGACAGTTGTTCCAGATTTGGTGTGCAGGAGCGTGTCAAAGGAACAACGTTCGCACTGTTGCACCAATTGTTGTTCACCATTAAACACACGCCACCTCCCCTTGACTTCCCCTAGTCCCGTGTCCTGTCCATGCGGTGAACCGAGAAGAACTCGACCGGCTGGATGGCGTAGTCCGGCACCGCTGGGGTCAGCCATGTCTCAATGAAGCAGAGGAGATTGCAGTCCCGAATGTCTCTCTGGAACTTTATCCTGGCCCTGAGGTCATCAAGCTTGTTCTCCAGTGACTGGACGTTGGCGAGCAGGATGCTAGGCAGAGGTGCGCGGTGTGCATGGGCTCTCAGCCTGTTCCTGACGCCGGCACGTTTCCCTCGAGGCGGCCGCTTCACGTCGCGTCTGTTGTTCTCCCTCAAGATCTCACTCGGCCAGCTCAGATCCGGAGTTAAGAACCCCGAACTGTGAGTACATTGTACACCAATAGAAACAAGAGTGGCACTGTCATACCTAATGTACCCAATGGTGATTAATTTAATGATTTAAGAACTCTAAAACAAACTTTGAAAAAACCAAAACAAACGAAGAGGTGGTCGGAGCAATCGTGACGGCAGCCGACCTCATGGTGCCATCTAGGATTAAACCTGATGCTGTTTCTGACTGACACACCGAACCAGTGGGCTGACGGGACATGTATCTAGGAACAACGAAACACGCATAAAGACGGCAGCAGCATCAATCACGTCAGCTCCGACACTTCGTATCACTGCATCAAAGACACAACAGTTTACTCTGGTCTGACAGCTGGTGGGTGAGCAGCATCGTGATCAGATTCAATCACAAAGCAGATGTGTGTCTCTGATTTAGATTCCTGAAGTGGTTTCATCTGAACTGGTGAGTGAAACTTTTTACCCAATGATCAGTACGTCAGACTGACAGGAGGAACATTAAGGCTCTATCCTCCCAACAGTGTGAGAAATAAACACAAGAGCCTATGGAGGAAACGTGTGTGTGTGTGCGTGTGCGTGTGTGCACACATGCACATTCACATCCTGGTGATGATGAGCTACTATGTGTCATGTTCTGAGGCAAGAGTCTAACCCAGGACATGCAGAATCAGAGTCAGAGTCGGGTTGTATGAAAAAATAATATTTATTGAAAACGATGAACTAAGGGCGCACTGGAAAACCAGCGGGTGCAAAAACGGGAAGCAGCGTCTAGAGGGGAGAGTAACAGAGGTGAGTATGGGAGTAGTAGTATGGCAGGGGAATTGCTGACGGAGGGACCATCGACATTAATATTATGGACATCTACTTTCCATAGACTCCAATATCACTTTTTTGAGCCCAAATGGGAGGTGGCCACCACGGCCATTTTGACCGT